CACCTTCCTCACTAATAACATGACCTAGGAAAGCAATTTTCCTTTGAGCAAATGCACATTTACTCATTTTGACCTTCCATTCACTTTTTTCCAGTAACTCAAGAACTTGCTTAAGATGTAACAAGTGGTCAGCAAATGTTCGACTATAGATCAGAATATCATCAAAGAAAACAAGGGCACAAATTCTTGAAACTGGAGAAAGAGTGTAATTCATTGGTCCTTGCAATGTATTGGGACCACCAGTCAGACCCATGGACAAAACAAGGAACTCATAGTGGCCATTATGTGTGGAAAATGTTGTCTTAAACTCCTCACCGGGCACCAATCCGATTTGATGATAACCTGCCTTAAGGTCCAACTTAGAAAACCAAGAAGCACCTGCTAGTTTATCTAATGATTCATCTATAACAGCAATGGGAAATTTACTCTTCACAGTGATAGCATTGAAATGTCTGTAATCAATAACCAATCTCCAAGTACCATCCTTCTTGTTGACTAATAAGACTGGAGATGAAAATGCACTTGTGCTAACTCTAATCCGCCCTTGCTCCAATAATTCAGCAACCTGGTTTTCCAGTTCAGTGTTAAGATGAGGAGCCAGTCTATAAAGTCTCACAGTGACTGGTCTTGCGTCATGGATCAGAGGAATTTGATGATCGCAATATCTTCTAGGAGGTAATCCATCAGGAACATAAAACAGAACCTCAAATTGATCCAATACTGCCTGAACTTCTGCCAGAACTGGATCAGTTGCATCTGGAGAAATAAGTGCTGACAGGAACACAACAACAAATGTACTATCATGGGGTAGCAGACCTTGTAGCGGGACCAATTCATTCAGATACATAAAGGACATCCACTTTTTAGACCACTCTATTTGCATGGGACTGTGCAAACTTAACCAATCCACACCCAATGCACCATCATAGACACCCAAGGGTAAAAACTTGAAATCCGTCTGAAACTCTATAGTAGCAGAGGTCCACTTACAATTTTTTAACTGTGCCTTGTAGGTTAGCTGAGTACCACCAGCTACTCGAACTGCAGAAGCGAAGACTGGTAACACACCCTGTAATTCAGACTGTAGAGAAACATCTAGGAAGGAATTAGTACTGCCAGAATCCACCAACAATTGGACAGTATGAGTAGAAATTGTTGTGCCTAAAGCTGATACAGAGATAGGCATAACATGCCCTTCAGAAACGTACCCATCTTCTCCACAAGAAACAGAAGAAACTGAATCCAGATGATCAATAAGTTCCTGGACAAAATGCAACTGCATTGAGCTCTTACACTGGAGATCTTTGGACCGTTTCTCACCACAAATAAAACATAAACCCTTGGATTTCCTAAATGCTCTAAGAGTTTCCCATTTATCATCATGTGAAGGAGACTTAGACGAGACAGAAACAACAACATTATCAGAAACAATTGTTTTAACAGAAGAAACTAGAGTTGTGGAGCTGTATTTTCTGGTGTACTGAGGAGCAGGTACAGAAGCACATGATTCACTCAACTCCTCATGAAGTAAGGCAAGCTCATAAGCCGCATCCAGATACTGAGGCTTTTGCATAGCAACAAAATGGCGTACATCTTGTTTGAGTCCTTCCTGAAAACGAGTAACATAGTGCAAGGGATCTGGTGTTGCTTCATAGGCAATCAATTGATCATATCATTCAGAGAAATGCTCAACATAATCAAGTACAGTAGTCAACTGAGCAATATGGAAGAAACGGCGAATCAAAATCTGATGTTGATTCCGGCAAAAACGTGTCTGCAACGACTGATAGAAATCACTCCAGGTGGCTCGAGGAGCACGACGCTGAACTGATTCAAGCCAACGAGCGGCCACACCCTCAAATTGGGAGGAAGCATACTGAATCCATAGATGAACAGGAGTACCCCAGAGCGCAAAATAATCCTCACATCTCAACTGCCATAGACGGGGATTACTACCATCGAATTGGGGTAACTCAACTCGCGGTGCAGATAGCAATTGCTCAGGTTAAAAAACACTTGTAGCAACAGGGGACACGGGCAGAGAATTGAGTCGGTCACGCGCACCTCGAGCAGGCGGGGGAACGTACACACTTGCCGGTCGGGACGCCACTCCAGGTCGGGCAGTTCTCTGGCGAGATGAGGTCGCCCGTACGAGATGATGTCGCCTTTGGAGGAAGATGGTTGGTGGCGGAAGGGCATTGTGATTCCCCACGGCCACCCTTGTCATCCATGAGTCGCATCTGGGAGATTTCGACGCCGAGATCCTCGCGCACCGCCTCGATCTTCGACGTCAGGGATCCATCGATCCGTGCCGCCGTCCCATCCAACATCTTCTGGACGGCCTTGAGGATGCGATCCTGGCTCACGCTGACTCGGGAGTCGACGCCGATGGTGATGTCGGCTCAGAGCAGATCGTACAACGCCTTGGATTCCGACGACAGCACCTCCATGGTTGCTTCTCGTCGGCGAGCTAGAAAACGCGTGAAGTGGTGGTGAGAAGGCAGATCCAGGATCGCGAACTGTATCTGATACAAGGTGTTAGGGACGAGCTACTCTACTACTAGCCGAACCCTAGCCAAGCTTGGAGAAGGGGAATCATGGAGGAATTGAGGTAGCTTGCTGTTCCGCCCAACCACCCACACAACAAGTTTAGATTACAAGCCAGCAAGAGAGCTTAGTCGTTCGTTCCGTCCTATCCTCTCTATCTCACACTACCACATGCATATATCAGTTACAAGGCTCAGTGGGCCCAAATGTTGGAATCGAGCCATCGTGGGCTTTTGTTGAGTCGCGTGGGTCGTGGATATTCCTCCTGGTTTTGGCCCATGTCACTTGTACTCTTCCCTCCCGCCTCAGAGTCGCAGCATCCAAGCAGTTGCAAAGTCCAAACTTCATTCTACGTGATTCTATTTTTCCGAGCTTGACGTGATTCACGATGGCATAAAATAACCATAAATAAGATCACACAACTCCATCCTCGAAGCATATTTTTCCGAAAATCTTATTTGGCTGACGCACGCTTGGAAAACATGGCATTTCGTACGTATTTTTAGCAGCTTTAGTTGTATTGGAGATGCCAGTTTCTCAAGAGCAACACGGGTTTTTAGAATGATGGCAGTTTTGAGCTTTCTTTGTAGAAGTTTATGTGGTCTGAATAAACTGTCATCCTCGACCAACTAAAACTGTCATCAAAACGTTCGTAAGGCCAACTCCACCGCGTGATCCCAAACGGACGTCCGTTTTGTTCGGATTCTGTTCATTTGGGTAGGGCAATGGGGTCGTGTCCGGGCAGTTTCCGGGATGCGGTGGCCGTGCACCCAGCGCCCGGCCGCATCTTGTCCGTGTGCACATTTCTTTGCAAGTCCTTTAACTTTTTTATCATTTATTTTTGGTACATGACAATACATCATCACATTTTGACTAGTAAAGTAAGGCCAAAGAAAACAAGAACCACAAGAATACGTTTGAGAAGATACCCAACTTCCATAACTGCTTCCTTGAGTTTGGTTAGGGCCTTCTCGATGCACTCATTGTTGATCTGTGGAGGAGGCTCGACGTTGCACCCTCCTTTCTTCTTCAAGCCAGAAGTCGACGTTGCTTCCTCACACGTAGTATCGTGCCTTGTTGCTTCCTCGCACGCAGTGTCGTGTCTAGCCTCTAATCTAGCAACAAGTGCACTTGTCTCATCTACAGCCTCTAGGCTAGCTAAAAGTGCACGAACATGTACTAAATTTTGCTCTTTCAATATATCGATATACTCTTCTTCCCAATACCAAAACTTGCATCCATTCTACACAATAAAACTTAAAGTTAGCACAACTAGTCTAATCCGAGAGCATAAACCGAAGCTAAAAGGAGCACATACCCCGTCGTTTAAGCACTTGATGAACACCCATCCGGGATGCTCCGGCGTTGTAGACACGCGGCGCACGACCACCCTTGGGCAGTGGTCGCACTTGATGAGGGGCAACGGTGCGCCGACGAGCTTTTGGGCAAGCACCGAGCCCGCCGACCGCCATTCGCGTATCTGCCGGCGGACCACCGACGGTGCAGATCCGAGCGGCTAGAGGACGAGCCACTGCCTGCATGTGGCCTTGCGGCCCTGCCAGGGCCTTTCGGCGAGGTGCCCGGCCAGTCCATGGCGCGGCCCGGCCTCCCACAGCCGGGCGAGCTCAAGACCGACCGGATCCGCTCCAAATCCGGCCGGCAGGTGCGCAAACCAGGTGGCCGTGCTTGGGTAGCTCGGCGGCGACGAGGGAAAGGGACTGGGCGAAAGCGCGTTCGAGTTGCACGGCTGCAATGGCAGCGGGCGGCGGCGGCGGCGAGGGGAAGAGTTGGGAAGGGTGGAGAAGAGTGGAGTGTGATGCGGCCGGAGGGAGGGAGAGGGGCGGATAGAAAAAAGCCCGTCATGTGCCAGCGACGGGCGGGCCAGGGGAGGACACGCGCAGACGGCCGGTGCGTCCGTGTGGAGCCCGTTTCACCCCAAAAACGGCGCAAATTTGGGCCATGAATGGGTCGAAAGCGGACACAAAACGGACAAAAGTCCGTTTGCTCCCGCACGCCGGGCCGCCCGATTTGTCCATTTAACCTAAACGTATGGGTCTGGACAGAATGGGGTCTGGAGTTGACCTAAGGTCACCTGTCCCCGTGAACGTCAGCCACAGGATCCTATTTTCGAATCAATACCGAAGGACTGAGACGAGCATATGAGGCTATACTGAAGTACGCATACTGCCAGTAAGAAATATGCAACGTCCCAATGAGGGCCAAATGCTGCGGAAGAGCTAAATTACGAATTCGACACGCACGCCTGCACCGTACAAATCCTGCGAAAGAGGCAAGGACAAGCCACTGCATCTCTTTTGATTTCCATTTCTTCTTTTTTTTTTTGAGCAGACGCCTTTTTTTCTTCTTCTGAGAAAGAGTGAATCCAGCACGACTCGTGTGCATCTTGCGCACCCATCTTTTCTGACGAAAAGAGGCACATCATCGGAGGTTGATCACTTAATGGCCGGATTTGGCGCTCCTCGAGATTGTTCATCTTCCACATGCTTCAAGAAGGCGTAAAATGCCACGTCGGAAGACCCACCTTCCTTGACGGCGTCTGCAGCCATCTCTTTCGCCATGGCCGCCCTCTCTCGAAGCTTTTGCCCTTCCTCGGACTCCATTACCAGCCTCACCTTGGCTTGCACCTCCTCGGCCTTCAGGGACGACTCCTCGTAGCCCTCCATCGCCACCCCAATCTTCATCTCCTCCACCAGGTGTATCTTATTCAGCCTCTGCTCCGCGTACAGCGGCCAGCAGATCATCGGCACGCCGGACATGACCGCCTCCAGCGCCGAGTTCCACCCGCAGTGCGTCACGAACGCTCCCACTGCCTCGTGCCGCAGCACCTCCGCCTGTGGCGCCCAGTTCTTCAGAACCAAGCCCCTGTCTCCGGTTCTCTGCAAGAAACCATCAGGAAGCAACGCCTCCAACTCCGGCTCGCCGGACTTGCTCTGCTCCTCGCGTGGGCTACGCACGGCCCACAGGAACCTGTGCCCGGAGTTCTCTAGCCCGCCGGCCATCTCTTTCAGCTGAGCCGCCGAGAAAACACCCCCGCTGCCGAAGCAGAGGAACACCACGCTCTGCTTTGGCTGCCTGTCCAGCCACTCGAGGCAATCGTGCCTCTCGCCGCTTTCACCGCTCACGCCGCCGTCGACCAGTGGCCCGATGCAGTATATATGCGGCGTGGAGCGGCCGCCGGACACGCAGAGGCCATCCCGGAGCGCTTTGACGGCCCTGGACTCCAGCCACTCGAAGCTGTTCACCAGAATGCCTCTCGCTTCCGGCATCCGCGCGAGCTGATGCACTCGTCTCTTGCACAGGTCGCTCTCCCGGTCTGCCATGGTGTCCGGCATGTCCAGAGCGCGAACCGGCGGCACGCCGGAGAAGGGCAGCGTCGTGTCTCCCATATCCTTGAACGAGAAAGGCGCCGCGCGGCAGACATCAGGAACCTGGAGGTAGATCGCGAGGTCGGCTGCGGCGGACGCGTAGAACATGTACGCGGGGACGGCGAGCTCCGCGGCGACGTCGAGCACGTCGATGCAGAACATGTCGAGCACGATGGCGTCGACGGCAGGGAGTGAGGTGAGGAACTCCCGGAGCACAGGGCTTGCGAGGCGGAGCTCGTCGAGCATGCGCAAAGCTGTGTTGGAGTACTGCTCATTGGTGCTCGCAGGCTGGATGGGCAGGAGGTGGACTGCTATGGAGGGGGAAGCGCTGGCGAGGCGGGTGGCCGCGGCTTCCAGCACGGGGTCCTTCCCCGGCGGGTCGACGACGGCGATGGTGACGGCCACGCCGCGGCGGAGGAAGGCCTTGGCCACCTGCACCATGGGGTTCAAATGGCCGACGCCTAGTGAGGGGTAGAGGACCACCGTCTTCTCCGCCATGCCGGCTCACAGTCACGAGATTTGCAACTCGCTAGAGGTTGGGCTGATTAGCAGAGAACAAATGGAAAGCTGGCGAACTCGAGTGTGGTTTGCAAGAGTGAGTGGTGGTGAACCGGCGATCCTCGGCCGTCATATATCAGCCACACACTGGAGAAAGTTTGCAAGAGTGAGGGGTGGTGAACCGGAGTATCATCACGGGACGGGCCATCATATATCAGCCATACACTGTCAATCAGACGACCGGGGGCTCACCAGGTGTACAATCAGCCCATGCCCTTCTGAGAAAAGGACATGACCGGGAGAAAGGTAATGCCGGCCATACCCATGAATGATTCGTCGAGAGGACATTTGAGGCAAAATTTCGTGTTTTGACCCTTTTTACAAAGAAATTCAAGATCTGACCCCTGTCTGAAACTATTTCGGGATCTGACCCTTTTGACTACCGCCAGGAGGGCCGGCGGTAGGTTTGCACGTCCTACCGCCATCATCAGTGGCGGTAGGCCCTCTAACGACGACTGACGGCCGTCGGCGCGTACTGACGGGGGAAAGGGCGTACCGCCACAGTTTGAGGCGGTAGGCTTCGGTGGCCTACCGCCCGAGGTGGTGGCGGTAGGTACCGAAGAGGCAAGTGATGCTGCGGGCGGGCCCTACCCCACCCACCAGCCCGTTCTTCCTCCTCCCCTCGACTCGGGTACCGAAGCGCCTATGTGAGGATGTGTGGGTGAAACAATTGCAAGATATGTGAGGATATGTTGGTGAATGCATATATGTTGGTCCATTTTATTTTGTGATGTATATATGAATTTTATAAGAAATCTTTCTGTATGTTGAATGCAAGATTGTGAGGATAAAGACATAACAAAATTCGTAGATGGTTAATGTATTGCAAATTTGTGAAGATGTATGTTTTGCAAAATTGGTAGGTGGTTAATGCATAGTGTGAAAATGTGTGTATTTCTATTTCATATAGTTGCAAATGTATGAACCCTAGGTTTAGTCTTTCTTATAGCCATATGAGGAGCCCTCTCTAGTTGATATGATGAACCCTAGAACCTAGATGAACCCTAGGTTTAGTCTTTCTTATAGCCATATGTGATGATTTATTGTGTGAATATTGTAGATATTTGTTTTGCTTGCATTAGAACAAATATTGATGTTTAATTAACTTTATCCAATCAATGCTTATATAAGGAACATGGCGCCACCACCATCACTTGATGAGGATGATGACTATGAAGACCCACTTGAGGAAGCCATCTGTGCTCAAAGAGTGAGGCTGAGTGAACGGGAGGTGTGCAACCTATGGGACAACTTTCTGCCACGTGCTGAGTTGATCGGGGCGCCATTCGTGACCCGTCTGACAAGTACCATGATCGATCGACATGTCATGGTATGTTATTAGTGTAGAATCCAAGGAATTGTTAATAGTTTAAATAATCCATACTTATCAATTGATATGTTTTTCTTATTCAGAAATTGCCAAAGAGCCTATCTGAGAGTTGTGGCATCGAGGCTGATGAAGAAGGCTATGCTGAAATACGCCTTACCGCAAGGGGCCCCGTCACTACTTGTGCGTACGGCGTGGAAACGGACGGTCGCACACATTTAAGCACAGATGGGTGGAAGAGCTTCCTCGTTGACAAGAATCTTCATGTTGGACAGGCCATCCTTATTACTATCAGGAAGACCAACCGTCAAGGCTTGAAGATGATGATCATCATCGATATCATCTAAACTATATATGCGTGTGGCTGCTGATGATCGTCATGTTTGATTGCTACCTATTTTGGCTTCGTGAAACTATTTGGATGTGATCAAACTATGTTATGTTTATGTCTATGAAACTGTGATCAAACTATGTTATGTTTATGTCTATGAAATTATGATCAAACTATGTTATTTGGTACTTGTTTCTTAATCTGTAATGGCAAAACTAATTATTCTTATGTGTGCCTATTGGATCTTATGTTCAGGGCCCTTGCATATTTCTATGAAATTGTGATCACATTATTTGGATGTGATCAAACTTCTTATGTCTACAAAATTTTACACGAAACACAGGACCCTACCGCCAGGCTCCCTGACGGTAGGGTCAGACAGCCTACCGCCGTGCTCCCTGGCGGTAGGATGAACCTACCGCCAGGACGCTTGCATATCTCGTTACAGAAGGCATGCACGGCAAAACCCTGCCACACCTTACCGCCAGAGCCCCTGGCGGTAGGGTTAGACAGCTTACCGCCTGGTTGTCTGGCGGTAAGGTGCTTATCCACGTCAGCGCGCGGTGACGGCCCCCGTCTCCCTCCGTCACACCCTACCGCCAGGGTATCTGGCGGTAGCCTGTCTAACCCTACCGCCAGGGGCTCTGGTGGTAGCAAAAGGGTCAAATCCCGAAATTTTTTCGAACAGGGTCAGATCTTGATTTTGTTTGCAAAAAGGGTCAAAACACGAAATTCAGCCACATTTGCGGCGAGCCAGCGACCCGACGAGCATTCACTTGCTAGTTTGGCTGGTCCTCTTAGAGCTGTGGACACAACGAGAAAAGAAAAGCTCTCCCGATTTGTTCTAAAAACAAGACGAATAAAGGAAATGCAAATTGCTGGTTGAGTGACATAAACTGCAGATGATAGATTCGGCACTGCACTACCGTGGTTGAGCTGTCGTCGCCTCGTTGGCTGACATTGGAGCAGACGGACTGTGAATAGTGGTGGTGGCGACGCGTCCGTGAAACGGAATCCGATAGGCTCCTACCACGTCATGCGGGGAGGCCATCAAAATTCAGTCCCAGATTACACGGTGGTTGCACGCTTCAGTTTAACATGAGCAAGCATGTAAGTTATCTCACGCTTTCGGGATGATTTACGACGGCAAGTTTTGTCTAGGCACGTTACATCACCGGGCTGAATCCGGTTCAAGTTGTTTTCTTCGTGGTTGTTGCGTCAGCGTGTACAACTGCATTCGTAGAGAAAACGGATCGTGTAACACCAACTCCGACGCGCCGACCCACATGTACGGCTCTTTTATCCGTTTTTTTTTCACTTAGGTCGGCTGCCCGACTTGTTTGAGATTTGGGCCGGCAATGCGCCCAACGCGCCGACTCATATGTGCCGGCGTGGCCGACTGATCGCCTTTTTTAACAAATAACACGATATTTTCATTATTTCACACGCAACTGTTTCATTATTTCACAAGCAAATATATAGTCCACAACCAAATAAATAGCATAGTTTCACCCGAATAAAATAGAATAGTTTTACAAGCCGAATAAAAGTAAAAATGTCTCACATAATTTTGCAGGCCGAATAAAAAGATACATCTATTGGTTGCCAACATGAGCACACATATGCTCAACCAAATCATTTTGTAGTTGCATGTGAGTTATGATGAAATTGGTTGAACTATTCAAACGTTGCTGCTCCTTCATGCTCAGGCACAACATTCTCACCCGAAAACTGAAACCCTTGATCATAGAGACGTTCTCGACGCTCATTTTCTACGATGTTGTGCCAAAGTAGTGCTTCCAAAGAAGGAAATGACCGCTCTCTCGGTTGCGATTCAACGCCGGAAGGTGCCCCGGAATGAAGCCACGGCATGACAGGCGCTGGCTATTGAGGTGGTGATGGACCAACACGGCAGCCAAGATCTCCTACTCATCATCGACGAGGAACCGTCGGAGTCGCAAAGGAAATTTTGAAAAAAGAACTCGTCGGCAGAGTCCATTTTGTACCTTGGCAAACTGTCGAATAACTTGCAGGCGTCGAGGAAGGAGACGGCCGGCGGAGGGAGTCGCGCCGCCCTCGGACCAGCTAGCTGCCCTGGCGACGAGCGTGC